TTTGATCGACCCCGACCACCAAGAATAAGAGAGATGGCTCTGGCCCAAGATAAATAATTTAAACTATTGAAGAGTGTTGAGTTAATTTCATAGAGGTGTTACTTTTGGATTCATGTACCATAGTTTTAACAGATTCTACTTTATTCTTTTAGTCCATGATATAAAAAAGAAACAAATAAAGTGTTAATAGCTACGTACCAGCCGAAAAAAACAACCTCTTTGAAGAGAAAACTACCAAAATAACAGATTGCTAGACTGCAGAGTCGATCATCTTGCTACCCATGATTGAAGGGTTTTGTCTTTGTTTTTTTTTTCTTGAGAGTGATAGATGCAGCAGACAACAACTGTCTAGCATGTTGGAATGGAGGCAGCGGTCTACCGTACAAAATATAAGGAGTTATAAGAGGTTTGAGTTTGTCAACAAGCGTGAATCACGTCAATGGAATGAATCACGTGCAAAATATTGGGCTTCAACACCCAATGCAAAACAAAGGTAAGAGATTTCAGTTTATCAACATAGTAAACCATGTCAATCGAATGGTGTGATTGGAAATAAGGACGGAAGGCAACATCTCTCTTTGTATGACACAATTTAGTAGTGCATCAATATCAATTGCTCTGATACCATGTTAGAAAAATAGAACTGAAAAAGAAATAAACACAAAAATATATATACGTGGTTCGGCTGTTCAGTCTATAGGTAACAATGGGAATAGAGCCTAAGACATTATGTTGGAGTCTACGACAATGCTCCTTCTTTGGTGTGTTTTTAGACACTCCATTGGTTTTGCTTAATGGTGTTGAGCAATTTTTTTTTTTGTTAAAAAAAATTGGATTAGGAATTGTCGATTTAAATTGAAATTGGTTGTTGCTTAATATGTCTCCCCACCCATTGATTTCCCACTAATTTGTTTTTTTATCAATACATGAGGTTTGTATAATGTGTTAACTTTATACTATTGAAGTAAGGTGCACCTCAAAACTATGCTGAAAATGTACTTTCGGTATCGCAAAGCATTGCATTGGTATGAAAATATATTATTGCCCCAACTATAAAATTTAAAGTTTTAGAAATAGTGACGATCAAGCAGATATGTAAACATTTGAAAATCTTGAAAATAGATAGTCCCGATAATGTATTAGAATATAAACTATTTTTAGGTCTAGAAATCCCTTTCTTTTCGTGTCTACGATTCTGGAGGTCGAGATGATCAATTTGTGGGTTTTCTAATATAGAAAGAACGTTGGGAAAATTGCTAAAACCCCCCGACAATGAACTTTTTACCCACTTTACACCCCAGCCAACTTTTCTTAGCAACTCTCCCCCAAAAAATGATGTTTTTGAGCTAATACCCCATGCACAAAAAGTTCACTTATTTTAGACGAAAATACCCTTCCCTCACATAACATATAATTTTCGTTAGAGAGGGCGGTCCGGCATTTTGAACCGGCAGTCAAGCGATTTTTTTTGCTGGAATGGGTGGTTCGGCGTTTCATGGTGGCGGTTCGACATTTTGAAGTTACGGTCCGACATTTTGAAGTTGGGGTCCGGCATTTTGAAGGGGCAGTCTGGTGTTTTTATATGGCAGTTCGAAATTTTGTAAGGGGCAATCCAGTGTTTTGAAGTGCGACAGACTGAGCAGTCCGACATTTTGAAAGGGCAGTCCGACGTTTTGAAGGGGCAATCCGGCGTTTTGACATGCGCCAAACTGAGCAGTTCAGTATTGTACAATTGCGGTCTGGCGTGTCCTTTTATTGGGATCCGAAAATGTTTTGTCATGTGAAAAGAGGGTATTTTCGTTAAAAAAAATATAACTTTTTGAGTTTGGGGTATTAGTTATAAAAGATGGTTTTTGAGAAAAATAAAAAAAAAAGTTTAAGATGAGGTTGAGTGTCTAAAAGAGTATATTTTTATGGCTTTTTAGTAATTTCCCCAACAACCTTCTTCAACGTTTTCTAGGTGCACTTTAACACCTTATATAAACTGTGTTTTTGTATTAATTTATTTTTTGACTATAGACCTACTCACTCAATTGGACGAGCCAAAGCAACTTGGCCCAATGGCAATGGGGCGATGCATCCCAAAAATAAACTCGCTCTCGGCCCTACTAAAAGCCCATCATCCATCTCGTTTGAAGGCTCCCCCAGAGTTGGTTCAATGAAACATGAAATCTCTTGTAGTGTACTTACGTGATTGACGACATTACTGAGTCAGTGGTCCCCTGGAGAACAAATTCAAAAATCGGAAATGACAGTTTTATGCGACACAAACCTCCATTCAATAACGTTTAGCATAACTTTGAAGAGGGGAACTATCTTAAGCTTTAGGTTTTTGAGTGTGAGAGAATCTTAAAATTTTAGAAAAATAAATTATATTAAATTTTATAGAGAGTAATGCATCTAAATATTTTAGAGAGAAAAATTATCTCAAAATTTTTATATAGACAATTTCAAATTTTAACTTTTTGATAGAAAATATATTAAATTTTAGAGAGACAAATCATATCAACTATTTCAAAATTTTTATAGTTACACTATACCAAATTTTGAGTTTTAGAGATAGAAAGTATATAAAAACTTTGGAGAGAAAAATTGTATCAAGTTTTGTTATGAGACAATGGACATGGAAGTGATTGCAAGGAATTTATAAATTTTTTATAATTTATCCAAACAAGAAATTTGAGCAATCCATGACAAAAATTTTTACATTAAAAATCTATAAATTTTTTTGGATTTCAAATATCTAAAATTTTTAATTTTCTCCTATCCAAACGGCCGTGAGGATCAACACCGAAGAAAAAAAAGGAGGAGGGGAGATACGTTTTCTCGCTCTCCGTTTTTAGAGAGAAAAAGTGCGTAAAGCTAGTGTTTTAACGAATATTTTACTGAGGCAACGGCGGTGGTTAATCATTCAAGGATTTGGTTACTGATGCCGGCGTGGATATAAATACAAAACCCTTCTGGTTTCAATGGTCAGAGCCTCATATCATTCGATTTTCTGCTTCAGAGCCCCAAAACTGGTAGCTCCTAAATCCATAACAAAACACTAATCAACCCACTTCAACTAAAGCTCCAATGGAGGTGAGTACTAAATATTGGATCAAATCTCTCATCGCTATGCTCTATTTCACGCCTCATTCACCCTGTTTTCTCTTGCCGCTTTAGTGAGATGTCAAAGTTTCTCCTTGGGTAGAGAGAGAACCAATGCTATCGATTTGTTTTTTTAGTTTAAGAGAGATGTTTGGTATTTGAAATTTAGCCCTCACCTAGTCTTGTATTTGAATTGAATTGCGGGCAATTAAGAGAAAAAAAAACAAAAACCTTTATGTGAGAGGAGGTGGTGCTTGTAATTTTCGACAAATAATAGCCCATTTAATAATTGACCTTTTCCAAAAGTGTCCCTACCTAATTTGACCGAATGGAGCGAGAGAACAAACCTTAATATGGAGAGGAAGAGAGAGGAACCCTTTATACATGTATGTATAGAGAGAGAAAATTCGTTGATATGGAGAGAAAGAGAAAAGACAGACAGACAGACAACCTTAATATGTACTATGGAGAGAGACAAAATATGGAGAGGGACAGCAACCCTTTATATGGAGAGAGAGAGCGCAATCCATATTATAGCAACACCATGGAGAGATATAGGGAGAGAACCCTCAATGAGGAGAGACTGCTATGTATGGAGAGAGCGAGCGAGCGCGAGAGACCTAAAAAAAGAGCTCGGATTTAATTGGTTAGCTCTTAACGATATTCAATGCTAGATCATAAGTTCAATTCCTACCAAAGGTAAAGACCCTCTCCCACCGACTCACAAAAAAAGAGAGAGAGCGAGAAACCCTTAAGTTGGACAGAGATGCACTCGTAATATGCGATGAAAGAGAGAGCAACCCTTAACATGAAGAGAGAGAGATAGAGCTTTAATATGGAGAAAGAGACCCTTAATATGAAGAGATAGAGAGTCGCCCCTATTATGGACAGAGAGGAATAATTGACTACGCACAAAAATCTTTTGACATGGGTTAGAGAGAGACATGTTTAGGAAAATGTTTAGATAGAGCCGAGGCTCTAAACAATCAAATTAAAGGTTATCTCAAAATTTTTATTAAAAGTTGTTGTTTTGATACTAAAATATCTTCAAATTGATCATTTCCACATCAAGATGCATGGACGTAGAAAAAAAATAGATTTCAAGTTTTTGAAATAGTATATTTTGTAACGCATTTTTAGAGAGCCGCCCCTATTATGGACATAGAGGAATAATTGACTACGCACAAAAATCTTTTGACATGGGTTAGAGAGAGACATGTTTAGGAAAATGTTTAGATAGAGCCGAGGTTCTAAACAATCAAATTAAAGCTTATCTCAAAATTTTTATTAAAAGTTGTTGTTTTGATACTCAAATATCTTCAAATTGATCATCTCCACATCAAGATGCATGGACGTAGAAAAAAAATGGATTTCAAGTTTTGGAAATAGTGTATTTTGTAACGCATTTTTAAACCGTCAATTTTTAAAATTTTCAAGTTTTTATATATCTCTCGATCTACACTATTTTTAAATATTTAAACTTTATAAATAAAAATAAAAATATATTTTAAGATAAAAAAAATTGCCAGTATTGAAACCACATTTATAAGTATTATTTGAATATAAGCACTAATTTGATCGTTCAGAACCTAGGCTCTATACAAACCGCACCCATATATAGAGAGAAGAGAGAGAATTTACTATGCACAAAAAATCCTTTGACATGGGGTTCTTTTTGGGCATAACTGAGGCATTTGGGCACACTTTGCATTTGAGGTATAGGGTACAAATTTAAGATTCGAAAAACATAAAGGAAGTACAGAGCGCAAAAACATCTGCGGCCTGATGAAAAAAAGAATAAAAACAACCGTAATTAGCGTTTTACAGGGAAAATCAAGGGTAATATGGGAACAATATAGAATCATGGAACAAACGACAAATGCTCTTTTTCAGGTTTAGGGAGAGAGAGAACTTACTCTTTTCAGGTTTAGAGCAAGCAAGAGCACTTTTTCAGGTCCAGAGAGAGAGCCCTTCCAAACCTCTCTAACTGTGAGGAAGGATCTTATATAAACCCTAACTTCTTAACAGGTCACTCTCTCCTGGGGAAAACTGAAACTTCATTTTCCTATGCAAACCGTGAAAACCCTAATTTGGAGCTCTTTTCACCCTCTAAAACCTAGAATCAACCGTTTGCCCCTAGAATCCGCCGTCGCAGATGCCTGCAACTTCATTTAGGCCGCAATTAATGACCCAAACGAGCTCTCAAATGAGGAAAAAGACTGGAGGCGTGGTTCCTCGAAGGAAAACGATCCCTTTTGGTAATCCCTCTGTTCCGTGTAATGAATGCTTATATAGGTTTTTCAAACCCTAAAAACGCTCTCATTTGGTGAAATTAGGGCAAAACAACGATTGGTGACTGGTGTTGGGACTTGACGCCATGAAGAAAGCTCGGTTTTTGTGAGGTTTTGATCTCAAAACGATCGACTATGGTTGTAGTAACGAGAAGCCCTACAAAATCAGGGTTTCGGTGAAATTAGAGCAAGAGAATGATTGATGATAGGGATTGGGATGCAGATGTCTGCAATGGCTCCTCAGGGGCCTGCAAACCCTACTACCTCTTCATCTTCAATGAGGTCTTCTCCCACTCCTTTGCAGGCCCAGCTTCCTTCTGGTTTGCCTGCTTCGTCTCTCTCTCTAGGCCTTCTCTCCCTACCCCCTCCTTTACAGAGGAACCCAGAACACATGATAAGCCCTGAGCCTCTCTCTTCTGCTCACCCTTTGCATGAGTCTTCTCCTATCTCGACGTTTTTGCCGAGGATCAAGTTCTCTGATATTGCCCCATATGATGGTGCCCCTTCCGGACTCTATAACAAGGCGGTTGAGACTTTGTCAGGATCTTTAACGAGGCATAATGCAGCGGTTATTGAATTGGGAAGTGAGGATTCTGCGCTGTTGAGGTGCGCAATGGAATCAGCGAAGCTTTATTTCAGGACTCGTACAACAGCTGGTGGTGTGTGGTCAAAGTCGAACCGAGGGATCTACATGTATCGAGCTGGGAGGTAGGCAAACACTTGAATCTTTTTTATATTAAAAATTCATGTGGACCGTGATGAGAATGAGTGATTTTATATCATTTTCATTATGTTTTTGGGTATTTGTGATTTATGTATCAGTATTTAAGGATTTTTTTTCTTCTCACTTTTGTGTTTGAATTCGCCAATCATGTATATCTGTTTTCTCAATTTCTGTTGTTCCTGGGAAATTGCGAGTAGTGAATATATGCCAACTTACATTAGTTTTTCTCAGTTTGGTTCCATTATAGTTTGTACCAAAGAAATATTGTTTCCTGTTTGTTTCCTCTTTTAATCATATTTAATTTATTTACTTGGTACAATTACTCTACAGCTTAGTGATTCAATAATTTCTTATATATGGAATAAATTGAAAGCAAGAAAGAATTCGTACAATTATGAGATATATCAACATTATAGTAACACAGGCATCAAGGCAGTTAGGGTCCCCTGCTCTGGCTTGGATTTGGCCGGTTTCCCTGTTCAGCTCAGTTCTGCCACTTACTGGAAACATTTTAGTTTGTATACGCTGCTGTATCAAAATATGTACACCTTTTCAAATGCAGTTCTACATATTTGGAAAAACATATTTTGTCTACATGTTTGAGTTTTTAGTTTCCCTTTGAAGCCAGGTTTGAATCGTTTTGTACCTAATGTTGGGAAAATTTAGTTAGATACACATCATTGGGAGCTTAATTTTAAGGTGCAAATCTTAATGATATACCATTCCCGATTATGTGACTCAGGTGTTGGTGACCCAAATAACTTTAGGACTTAAGGAATAGATGGAGTGTGATTCTCACATTGGCTCATAATTCTTGTGAAGCCCTAAAATGGCTGGTACAAGCAAAGGAACTGGCCGGTTCTGGGTTGTTTAATCCTGATTTGGCCAGGTATGGGTGACTTGTTTCAACCACCTGTGAGGTTTGGGAGGCTATTCTTGACTGGACTTGAGAGTTTGTTTTTCCAAAAACCAGGCAACTTCCCAAGTTTTGATAAAACTTCGGAAAAATGTCTCAGAGAAACTTCTCAAAGTTGCTGTGCCAACAGTAGATTATACATATGCTGGAATAAACCAAGGAAAATCCACGATGATGCAGCCTTATACTTTTTTTCTTGTTCTCCTTTCTCCATTCTTGATAGATATCAGAGTTGGGTAAACTAAC